GTGATAAAGTTATTTGATATTATAGAAGGATTCAGTAAATAATATTTTAAAAGAATTTCTTGAATTTAGAGAATAAAAAATCGAAGTTATAATTTAATAAATAATAAAATTAGATTTTTAAAGGGGTTTTTTATATCCTTTAATAATTACTAAATAAATAGAAAGTAAAGGTTTTATTCTTTAAAATTAAAATAAAAATAATATTAAAAGAATTAAATAATAATTTAAATTCGCTTAAAGGGAATAGTATTATTGATATTAATATTATCCAAAATAAAATTAAAAACCTATATAATAGATTTCCAAAATTAAGAATAATATTAAAAAGATATTTTAAAAATCAAAAGGAGTTTATATTCTGATAGTAAAATAATATTAAATCCTTATAAAAAATATTATAAAAATAAATGTATAAAGTATTTTTAAAAAGAGAAATATTTAAAAAATAGAAAAAAGATTAAAAGGAATTATTCAAATATTAGATTTTTAGAATTATATAATAGTTCTTTAAATCAATAAGATTATATAATATCTATAGCTCTTTTGAAAGCTTTTTTAATACCAATATAGTAATTATAGTATAGGTGTCAGGAAGCGATCACCTAACAGAGTTTGTATAGTAGATCCACTATTTTAAATTTATTCGGAATACTTTATGCTTTTGTAGGTTAATAATAAAATAGATTAATTCTAATATTGTATTCTGAATATAAGGGTATTTTGTTTTAAATCTTTTATTCAATAAATCTAAACAAAAATAATTGTATTTTGAATTCAATCTCAATAATTAATTTAATTGTAGTTATATGTACTTTTAATTATTTCTATATTTATAAAAATCTATATTTATAGAAAACTGATTCCTTTTTAATTGATGTATATTGGATGGGTTTGTATAAAATGGGAATAAATGTTAGAAAATAATTATCTGATAGGGTTTGTATAGTAAATCTATTATTCCAAATGTATTTGAAATATTCTACATTTTTGTGGGTTAGTGGTAAAGTGGATCAACTCTAACAATAGGTATTGTTATATAACAAACTTAAAGGTAAAAAAAGTTTTTAAATATTTTTAATTAAAAACTTAACTATGAAGAGAATAAAGATAAAATATTAAATATATCTTGAATCCTTACATAGATTACCAAAAAAAATTTATATCGTAGGTCAGGTTTTAGTATTAAATATAATATATATTATATTGAAAGCTATATATAATTCAGTTGACTATATTAATCAAAATGATTATGTAATACGCCTAATACGCTTAGCCTGCTTTCTGGTGCGAATGAAAATTGTGATTTGAAAGTTGTGGTTTGAAAGTTGTAGTTTGGGAGGTATGATTTAGAGGTTTTGATTGAAACTTCGTATGATTACCTAGGTATAATTATGATTATAATTAGATATGTTTATATTTATATTTTATTTTATATTTATATTTATATTGATATTTATATTTATATTTATATTTATATTTATATTTATATTTATATTTATTATTTATATTTATATTTATATTTATATTTATATTTTATTTATATTATAATTTATATTTATATTTTATTTTTTTATATTTATATTTCTATTTATATTATAATTTATTTTTATTCTATTATATTTTCTTTCTATTTCTATTTTTCTATATTTATCTTTATATTTATTTTTTATTTATATTATATTTATCTTTATCTTTATATTTATTTATATTCTATCTCTATATTTTTTTTCATTTATCTTTCCTCTCTTCTTTCTTCTGAACTCGCATTCCTAATATACATTTCTATCGATTTATCTATCTTACTTTACTTACTTCTCTGCTTTACTTTTGATCTCATAAGATATAAAATAGAATTAAATAACTCGCTAAATTACCTACGGGTATCTAGGTAGGTAGTACTCATTTGGGTATATGATGTTTATGAATTTCCCGGTTTGGAGGTTTGGAGGTTTGATGTTTATAGATTAGAATATGGTTTAATAAAAGGGGAGTGGAGTGGATTGGAGTGGATTGGATTGAAGTGGATTAGATGTGAGTTAGTTGATCTTTTGATTGTATAGATAATAAAGGGATGCTGTTAAGATGAGATGAGAGGAGAGGAGATGAGAGAAGAGGAGAGGAGTTGATGTATAGAAAATGTGGGTTGGCTGTAAATATATATACATTCATGGATTTTTGTTTCTTTGTTCGTTTATTAGTATTTTTAAATGAGTATATATTCATTCGTTCATTTCCCACGTCATTGCCTTCGTCATTAACATATAGTTAACCATTGAGAAATCCATCTCATTCATATTATCTCCTTTTCCTTCTCTTCCTTAATCGAATTTCGTCACATCATAACCAGATTCCCCGGCTGCCACCATCCATCATATATATCAATCAAGCCACCAAAAAGTTCATTCCCCTCCACCACCCTCCTCACCTTCCTCTTACTACCTACGCCTTTATCACTTCCACCCACCTCTCCCGCTCCGAAAAACAAGTCGCCCAAGCCTACTACGCCTGCTGCACCTACCACGGAGGCGTAATCCCCCCCCCCGCTCCTAGAACTGGGCCGCCACAAGTTACATCTACATGATCAACCTCCCCGATTTCGGCACCCACAACACCAACGACCCCTCTCCTCCATCGACTCCAACTCCTGCGGTCAAATCGCCAAAAGCGCTATCAATGACACCTGCGATAATATCCTCGCGAGTACCAAAGAGGTGAAGTTTGAAGGCAAGTCTAGTTTTTTGAAGTGCTAGGATACGTATGTCACGTTTAGTTGAGCGTCAAATATTAGGGGATGGAAATGAAGAGTGGTGACGCAATGTCGAATTGTGTTGCGAGTGTGTTGGATGGGGCGGCGCAGCAGGATTTTTTTTTGCTGGATGAGAATGATGAGGTTGGTTTTGGTTGTGAGGGCTGGAGAGGAGAAGTTGAATTCGGAGGGGTTTTGTTAGGGTGTGGTAGATGGGATTCTTTGGGGAGGGGTTGGGTTGGGATGGGAAGAGGAAATAGGAGAGGGGAGATAGGAGAGGGGAGATAGGAGAGGGGAGATAGGAGAGCGGGTTAGGGTGTGGTGTGATGGTTAGATGTATTCCTTGAATTCTGAATAGATTTTATTTACACAAGAAAATATGAAATTGTTGCTTAGAAACTCTTTCTCCCTACCGGCCAGTTCATATCGCGGAACTTTCTTAAGCTGCATAAGATAGGGAAAACATGTGTGTTTATTCACATGTAGTATAAGTGTATCCTCCATGTTAAGCTTCCCGTTCTCTCTCCCATCCAGATACTAATTAATACTTGTATCTTCCTTGAGATTTCATTCCCAATACACTTGTATGTAAACCATCTACGTCTTGTAGATATCTGTGTGTGTATCTCAGTCTATTTCTCGAGGACTTCGAACTTCGGTTTGCACATGCCTACTAGACTTTCCTCTTATATCATCTTCCTTACTTAGGCCCTAGCTAGAATCAGGAGTAGAGTCAAGAGTGGGAGTTGATAGTTGGGATTGTGTTATTAACCCCGTGTTCGAGAAAAGATCATAAAAGCTTGAGACTAGAGTGAAGTTTGATTTGGTAAATTAATTATATCAATAGGTTCCGATCCTGAATGAATGAGATAACTGGCAGCACTAAACTCGCCAAATTAAAGACCCTTTAAAGTCATATTATTTCGAAATCGAATGATAGTATAGGAAAAGTCCGAAGCATTGAATGATACATTAGAGTTATAAATTGTAAGCTCCATCGTGTTGTTAGAATCGTTCACCGAAAATCTTGACAGGTCGATGTTATAAAGAATGCTGAGAAGGGAAGAGAAGTTCGGCGAATTGGTATGATTATGGTCCAAGCTTTTGAGATCAAGAGGATGAGAGGACCTCGAGGACTTCACTTCTCAAACTCAATTTTGTTCTCGACTTACATTGCTGATATTGTGAGTGGATGAGAATTCATTGATTTGATAGATGCAGCGCTGATTGTGATGAAGAGAAGAGAAGACGAAGTATGGTGGGGAATTGATAAAGCGTCGTTGCGTTCTTCGATGGCTTACCTTGCATTATTTTCAATTGGTTCACATGTTTGGGTTTCTATGGTATGTTATTCTCGAAGCTGGATAAATCATACTACCTGCTTTTTACACCCAGGAGTCTATAGATAGCGAGACGGGTGTGAATGACTTCTAGGTAAACATTGTTCGCAAAGATTGCGCATGTATTTTATGGATGGACATGGATGCGTGTCGACACCACTGCACTGCATTGCCATCGTCATTGTTGTTTTGCTGGGCAATTGGTTCATCCAATGTCTACCTAGTTGGATAAGTATTCAACTTGAGCCTCACTGTGTGCTTTTCTCTTTTATTCCGTCTTAACCGCTGGAGTTATAATTTATGATTGGCTAGATAATTTTGGACCAATCAAATAGATGTAGAAGATTGCGTTTTTTATTTACTAGGTATTGATGAGTTGGCCTTGCTGCGCAAATCAGCCGCGCTGATGAAGGTAAAGTTTACATAACGTCAGACGACTTTTCATCACCTCCTTTGTGTATTTGCGTGTTTTAAAGTGTTGTATATATAGTCAAGATGCTTTGCGAAGCGTGCGAGAAGATATTTTGTGGTCGTCGAATGTTGAGAGGGCCATCATCCCCGAAGCGTAATCCTCATCATTCTTCTTTGCAATCAATCATTGATGCTTCGGCCTCTGGCTGTTGGATTTGTCATCGACTGCTGGCGTCTTTCAGCAAGAATACAGATGTTAAGGATGCAATCGCAGGAATCTCTCCTTTGATGAGGTCCTCAACGTGGGAATTATATTACTTATCAGGCCAACGACAACCTTGGTTCCTTAGTTTTAATTTTGGATATTATTATCATACATTCACCGTAATTTCACACGAAGGTAGGTCAAAGTTAAAAATCTTGCCATCCAGCTGTACTTATAGTTCAATCTAGAGTATGGTGCGCCAGACACAAATCATGTGTCGAATGCAGGCGATACTACAATGTCAGATGCTGCACTGGCACAAGCCTCGAAGTGGTATAGTGAGTGTTTATTGAAGCATACCCTCTGCACCACTTCACTGGCATCTAAGTGTGTCATGCCAACTAGACTGCTTCGAATTGATGAAGATGAAAAATACGTCAGGCTCGTTATGACAAGGGAAGAAGTGGTCAAAGACTCACACTATTCAACCCTAAGTCATTGCTGGGGAAACTCTGATATTTTAAAGCTTACAATTTCGAATCTGGAAAGTTTTAAGGCTGGTATCTCTCTCGAGCGACTCCCGAAGACATTTATTGAGGCTATATTTGTTGCTAGAAAGTTGTCCATTCCTTACATATGGATAGACTCACTTTGTATCATTCAGGACTCTGTCGATGACTGGCAGACTGAATCTGTCTCGATGGAAGATGTCTATGGCAACAGTAGTCTGAACATTATGGCTGAAGCCTCCAAAAACAGTCATGAGGGTCTTTCTCGATCTCGAGACCCAAAGATGTTGGAGCTGTGTCCAGCAGTCCAGTCAAATTGGGAAGATGCTGATAATGATCTGTTACATATATTCAACAAAGACATCTGGAGCGACAGATTGTACACTCAGCCACTGTTGGATCGAGGCTGGGTTTTGCAAGAACGTGCCTTGTCGCCTCGCTCACTCCATTTTTGTGATGGTGAACTACTCTGGGAATGCAGGGAGATGGCTTGCTGCGAAACATACCCAACAGGGCTACCAGAAATTTGCAAGAGGGAGAATTTCAAGCTCAGACCACTTTCAGGATCCGATTCATATGAAAGGAAGTATCTGATAGACGGAGTTAAGAGGACCATGAAAGGCATTGCTTACGATAGATGGGTGCAGTGGATTCATCTTTACAGTCAAACACATCTAACGAAAGATTCGGATAAACTAATTGCAGTCAGTGCACTGGCCAAGTGCACGCGGGCAGTTTTTGATGATGTCTATGTGGCAGGCCTTTGGAGATCTATGTTTGCCGATCAACTTGTTTGGTGGGGTAGTCACACTTCTCGTCCAAAAGACTATCGAGCACCTACTTGGTCTTGGGCCTCGGTCGATGGCTTTGTCGCTCTTCCTTCAATCTTTCCCAGTAACAAATATCACATTGAGATCGATGAGGTACGAGTTACGCCCGTTTCCGGCGTCGATGACACTGGTTCCATTTCGGATGGATACTTTCGTGCGCGGGGACTGCTAATACGTGACAAACTTGTCAAAGAGCAGGGAAATCGTGGGACTCCCTTCCTCGCCGGGAGGGATGGAGATACAACTGTGACTGTAGTGCTAGATGCACCGTTCGACCAAGGCGAAGAAAGGGTGATAGTCCTTCCTATCTTGACAATTTTGTTTGAGCTGTATTTTGAAGGTGGTTGCTTTAATGCATTACTTCTCCAGGAGCGGGCAATGTCACCAAATGGCTTCTATACACGGATAGGCTGGGCGTTGGTCGAGAATAGTTATGTAAAGAATAATATGGCCTTGGACCACCCCCAAAGTTTGTCCGAGTTGAAGTTTCCAGGAAACCATGGCGGTTCGAGTTCTGAATCAAAAAAGTCGACCCAAGATGGGGGAGGTGCAAATTTCGACGTTGAGTTGGATGAGAGTTTGTATCTAGAGGGTTCACTGGGATCTTTTGTGGTTTATTGAGAGGTGTTTGGTGGGGATGGATCGGATGGGTAGTTGTGTGGGATGGGGGTACTGCAATAGAGAAGAAAGAGAGCCGGGCAAGTTCTTTTGACTTTTCGGGGGTTTCATATAGGGATGGAGGTATATACTTGGTATTCTAGTTTGAGGTCTTTTATGTGGTTTATATTTCTTATCAGCTCGTCTAGTCACAAAAATACCAGCTAGCTATCATTGCGCGTTCAACATAATATGAGCCAGTAATTCATCATGTATGCAAATTTCGAATAAAATAGAATATGGAATCGGATTATTGTAGAATCTTGAAAACAGACAGTTTGACATATGCAGACTGTAGATCTTTTACCTAGAACAGCTAGGTATATATATTGAGGAAGATTGTCAAACTCGAAAGGAAATATGAAGAAGAGATACTGAACCAGCGTAATAGATCAATGTAGACTGAAAATTCTGTGGTGGTATTGTGATATACGGAGTAGATATTGTACTGGACTGGACAGCTAGTTGTCGGTTAAGAAAGAGTGGGCCTTTTCTTTGGGATTACATAGATATTGGAGTAGACAGTGAAGCGGGTAGACTAATAATAATAAGTGTATTAGAAATCTCTCGTGGAATGATTGATTTGGTGGTAGATTGTAAGTTGTAGCTATGAGATTATTGAAAGCTATAAGTTTTGGAAAGATGTAGAGATTACAAATAGATTTGGCCGTGTAGTGTGTGGTGGCAAGAGGACGTAAGACGTAGAGATCTAGATCCTTTTGAATAACAAGATGTGAAATAGCGAGAAGTTAAGAGGGTGAGAGAGTGAAACTTGGTAGAATTATTCAATTAGTCTGTAACTTCCAGAGAAGTTTGAGCTTAAGTTTGGTACGTATCCTCCGCATTGCGGTAGAGTGGAAAATAGCTAGATGTTAAAAGAGTGAGGACCTGAGAGTGAGCTTTTCCGTGACACCTACCTACTAGGTACCAAGATCTTCATAGCTTTTCCTGGTACATTGCGAGATTGCCAGGGATTTCCTCGCATCACGTGAGAGAGTAAAGAGAAACAAAAAAAGCAAAAGCCACATTGAATGTCTTGTCCCTTTTTTCCCCCTTCTGACTAAGAGAGGAGTACCGTAATTAATTGTAACTTACCCAGGTAAAATTCTCCAAAGAGTACAAAACAATAATAATTATTAACCTTCCTGTCGATACACATATCAATTTTTTATTACTACTACTACTATTATTATTATTACTCTTCTTCTTTTATATTCACTTTTTCATATTCTCCCTTCATCTTCATTTCACCCTGATCTGTTTGTCTGATCACTTCTTCTTCTTACCTACCTACTTACCTATCTATATCTTTCAAGGCTTAAACGGGAAATAGCGAACCGACGTACCGATTCTTTTCAGCAATCCAAATTAAACTTCCCTCCCATCGTTCTCGACCTTAGACCATCACCAAAGTCCAAACCACAAACAATACCACTCCTTTCAAATACATCACACTCACATCAAACGTCAATCAGTCCAATTCAATTTGTTTCTGATACCATACCACTCAATTTCTAATTGTAATCAACGACCATAAGCTTCTTTGGTATGTTTCGACCTCTTTGCTTCGAGACTTCTCCTTATCCTGTCTGTCGCAACACGAATTGAACTAATTTCCCGATCCAGCTCACCTCGACTCAACCACACAACCACACCAACCCAACTACCTCCATCTACACCTACACCTCCACCTCTAATCATGCCTCAAGGTTATTCATCTCGAGATGTTGGTGACCCATCGCAAATCAAAAAGAATAAACAATCAATGGCAGATCTCAAATTAAGACGTCTTACTGAATTGAACAATCGACTCCGAGAAGATTTAGAACGCGAAAGGATCCCAGTCTCTCAAGCTGCTAAGAGGTAAATTTACTCCTCTTTACCTTTTGACTACTTGCGAAGTTACTTATACGTGATCTCTATTTAGTATCATTCAATATACCAGTCAAACTAAAGATTTTATGGTTCCATCAATTTGGGGTACCGTTGATAAGAAGGATGATCCATATGCGCCGCAACAAAGTGGTGGATGCTGTTTGGTGATGTAAGACAAGGAAGAATACATCAAGATAATTCGAAATGGAAAGCATACGAACGACCCGACAATGACCAATCATAATTTCATCAATCACTCAACTCATAAATCCATTCAGATACACCAATTTCGATATCGATCCTTCCGTTTACAAAAATCACGCACGTCACCATACAGAGGGAGAGAGGGAGGTAGCAGACCAGAATAAAGGGCGTTATTAACGGGGCGTATTGGGGAAATCATTCACTTTTCAGCCTTCTTCAACATTATTTTCAGAAAGTCCAATGTTTCTTCTCGAGCCTTTCCCGTTATAGGCCTGCTTTTTTTCTTATGAGGATACCAGAGGAAGCATTAGCATATTTCACCAATTGGAGGTACATTTTCATCATCGACAGGGCACGATAGCAAGCTGGTTACTCTCGATTCGATTGTATCTACGACGTGTATCTTGAGGCGTGCGATTGTTTGAGACTTTTCTTGATGAAAATGAAAGGCAGGATAAAGTCATTAAGAAGGAAGATGAAGAAGTGAAATGGGAAAATGGGAAAAGAAGCATGTAATAATTTTTTTTCGTTTCTGTTCGTAGTAGTTACACCTTTTTTCTCCCCAGGACTACCAACAAACATAGTATGCACCTTCATATGGACTTCTTTGTGTATAGGATTATTTCAATGGAAAGTCATTGGGATGGTATTGTTTTTTTTTATACGAATGAAGAGACTTGTGTTTTTAATGCATTTTTGAGATATTATATTGTATTTGGCATTTATCTATCTTTACATCTGATGACTGTTGAATGAGAGTGAGTGAGTGAGGATTATGATGTGGATTATATATATACTTGTGTATATATCAATTGTTTGATATTATCTAATGTATTGAGATTTAACATTCAAGATTTGATCTTTAATATCTATCTACCTACCTAGGTACTATAGGTAATATCTATCTAATATCTCCAGCTAATACCAATCTTATTAGTTACCTATTAATTAGTGAATCGAGACTCGAAACCGAGTGAATTTAATTTACCTTTTGGTCGGTATTTGATATCTCTAGCTATTTATCTAGTAGGTAGGTATCTACTAGGTAGGTATCTAGTAGGTAGGTATCTATACATATATATAATCAATATACAGAGTATGAGACAAGGTTATTAAAGAATAACCTCTACGATACTCAGCAGCTCAGAAATTTGTATAGAATTTGTATATTCTACTCTACTCTACGATATCTAGGTAGGTAGGTAGGTAGGTAGGTAGGTATTCTTATTATTAGGTATTTTCGTAGGGGAGCTCGGGGAAGGATTGAGATTTGGATTAATATCGATATTTGGATTGGGGGTGGAATTGATATTGGAATGAGGGTAGAATTGATATTAGAATTAAGATAGAGATTGAGATTAAGATTGATATTTAGAATGGCCCCGGTATACTGTAGAATTCGTAAGTAGATGGCGTAATTTCGTAGTCAATTTATTTATTTATTTATTTATTTGGTTTTGTGGTTTGAGTGTTATTTTATGTTAGGGTTATGTTATGTTGTTTAGGTAGGTAGATGTGTTTTATGCTATTGGGAGGGATTATATGGGAGATGGGGATTTTGGTCTGGTTGGAGTTGGTCTTCAGCTGAAAGGAAACGAAAGGAAACGAAAGGAACTGAACTTGAATGGCTGAATGAATGGATGAAAGAAGCTGGCTGTATGGCTATATGGCTCTGACTACCTAGGGATTTACTTGCTTTGCCTGTCCTTTGCTTTACTCTGTCCTTTGCTTTACATTGTGTTGAGAGGTGTTTGTATGATTTGGTGATTTGAGTGATTTAGTGCTTAGGGAATTTAGTGTTTAGGTAGGGAGGGAGGGTTAGCTAATAGAATCAGATGGAGATATTTTGTCTGTTGATCATGTAGTTAATGCAGATAGGTAGACTATTGATTTTGCTTCTTCTTGATTCTTGAGGTAGCTTGCGGTTGGAGATTGGGGGTTGGAGGTTGTGATTAGGGTTTAGGGTTTACTGGAGGAGAGAGAGACTAGGCAGGCTCGGTAGGTATCTGACAGTTGATGGATTGATGGATTGATGGAGTGGAGGGTTAATGGGGTGAAGGGTTGTTTGATGGATGTATATACATACGATGGATGTGGTGCATATAATATGATGTGATTAGGATTGAGATCTTCAGAGTAAGTACTCCGTATATGTATACTCGGTGTTGTTTTAAATGAATACCGACCTCAAATCTAGTCGAATTCCTTACCCAAAACTATACTTATTTAGTATTTTCAAAACTCAATATTAAAAAAAGTAATATAAATCGATTCTTCAAATCTTGAATATATATAAAATATCAACAAATAAATTATATATCAAAATCTCAAAGTTTCAAGAATCGAATTAAAAGATTTTTTATATATTAAAAATCCCTTTCAAATAATGATTTTTGTAGGGTTAGTTTTAGGCATTTAAAGCTTAAAAATAAGCGAGTTTTCATTTCTATATTTTCAATATCTTGATTTTCTAAATAATTCAATAATTATATCGAAATATTATAATCTAAAAGAATATTTATAAAATTCAATTAAATCTTTATATATTTGTAGAATTTCATATTATGAATCTTTGTGATTGAATTTTAATTGAATTTTGAAATAGATGATTTCCAATGAATTTTGGTGTGATATATACTAGCTAAATTGTGATCGGCATTCATTTAAAACAATACCGAGTATATATATAAATAATACTTAGTGAATACCTAGGTAGGTAGCTGAAGAAAGTAAGCTAGGTAGCTACTAGGTAGATATCTATAGTAGATCTGAAAATGTTTATCTGTTTTCTTTTTCCCGTGACTTATAATTGCTTGTATGGAGGTTGACAGTATAAGTATTGTAAAACACACTAAAAAGTAATCAAACTTTTCCCTATTTTTATTATTTAGATTAATCATATCATTATACTGATTAAAAATTTATATAATGAACCCTAAATAATAAAAATATTATAAATTTATCCTACCCCTAGCAAAATCATTTACATTTATCGAAATTCATATTTTTCTTTTTAGAAATATTATTCTAAGCCTATTTAAAACCTATAAAAAGCTTTGAAAGTTTCAAAAACTTTAAAATTATAAAAGTTGAAAAAGAGTTGAAAATTTGAATAAAAAGATTCAAAATTCGAAATTTTGGGGGGATGATTGAATATCTAGTAAAATTAGTAAAAGTAGTATTGGAATTTTGTAAAACAGTAACTTTTATTAAAAATGAGGCTTATACGACTTACGCTGTCAACCTCTGTAAGTAGGTAGCTGAAGAAAGTAAGCTAGGTAGCTACTAGGTGGGTATCTATGGTAGATCTGAAAATGTTTGTTTGTTTTCTTTTTCCCGTGACTTATGATTGCTTGTAAGTTGTTAGGTGTTTAGGTGTCTAGGTATCTAGGTGTTGAGATCGAGGGTATCTATTAATGATCTTTTGCTGGAGAGAGGGAGAAATAGATGAAAAGGAATCTTTCTCAGCAAATTCTAGATCTTGAAGTATTTAGTTTTGTTTGTATGTATGTATATACGAATGTATATATGTATAAAGCTAGAACTACGTACGTACGTACATAATCCATCCATCTCATAATTCTCATCCCACTCTCTGCGCAAACTTAAGGGTTAAGATATAATTATTCTAGGTATGTGTGTGTGTACTTTGTAGTAAGTATATACTATATTCCATACAATACAGTGAAGTCAAATGAGTAGTCCCAAGTAAAATGATCCAAGTCCACTCTGCACCTGCATCTATCTGCACCTACATGCATCCATCTGTTCTGCATGACCCATTTCTATTCTGTTTCTGATCTTTCTGTTCCTGTTTCTCCTCGCGCTCTTTTCCTTTGCTTCTTCTCCTGGCTGGCCTGGCTCTTGCGTGCGTGCGTGCGTCAAACGGGAGCTTGAGCCACTTTTGGAATGGCTTATCCTTACCTGGATTGGTAGTATTTGCGTAGTTTGGTGGGCTGGACTGGGCTGGAGTGGCTAGTACTTATGGAGTACTTTACCTTGGTCCTGGGAGTTTGAAATTCTAATTCAGGATTTGAGATGTGAGATTTGAGATTTGAGGGAGAGAGAAACTTCGGGATTTTCATTTTTGTTGTTGGGGTGGGTGGATGACACTGGATGTGGATGTGGATGTGGACGATGAATGGTGGGTATGATTGATAGCTACTCGGTACTCTATGAAGAGGTATTGGACAATTTGGACTGGGTACTGGGTACTGGATTGGATTGGATTGGATTGGGTACTGGACTGAGTAGATAGGTCTAGCACAGACATCTTCGCCGAGGTGGGAAACTAAATAGGAATGGAATGTTAAGAATGTTAAGAATGTTAAATGGGGGGATTTGATTTGAGATGGGGATGGGATTGGATGGGATGGGACGGGATTAGATTGATTGGATTGAATTGGGATGGAATGGGGAAGAGTGGCTAGGTACCGGTAGTGGTAGTAGTAGTGGTCTTGTAGACTACTTCGTATAGTAGGCATATATTTATGTGTCTAGGTAACAACTACGGAGAAGAGTGAATTTGAATTTATGAGTTCGATACGAACAAATCGAATAGAATTGAACAAAATCAATCGAGTAAATCATCGATCGAGTACCGGCACTCAAGTGATCAAGCAATCAATCAAGACAATTCAAATTAACCGGGGAAGGCGGGCCAAAGAAGAAGACAAAAGTTAAAACGATACCTGTCTGGGTTGGCTCGTACAATTGGTAGGGTAGGGTTAGATACTAGGTAATTATCTAGGTAAGTTACGATGTACAGAGTATGATAATAAATGTGTACAATTATACATTTTACTTTGTACTCTGTATAATAATTACGAATATTGGATACCGGCACCGGTACTCGTATATTTATTTATGATTATGATTATGATTATCAATCGCGATTCGGATTCGGAATAGGATTAGGAATAGGATTACGAAGATTGATTTAGATTTTATACGGAGTTGTAACTGTATACCTACAGTGCCTAGTGGGAAATCGGATTCGTGTGTCGAATGTGAATTTGAATTTGGATTTGCATCTGGATTTGGATTTGGATTTGGATAAAATTGATAATATGGATAACGTCGATGAAATGAAGATTGTCGCAGGGGATGTAGCAGGAGAGGAAAAGAGACAGAATGGGATGAGTCAAGTGGATGGGATTAAACTTCCTCGGGTGTCGATTCAGTTTTGTACGCAGTGTAAATGGATGTTGAGGGCGGCTTATGTATGTGGATTTTTCGTTTTCCTTCTTCTTTGGGTGTTTGTTTGTTTTTCGTCTTTTCATGAGAGTGGTCTTTTGGGGAGTTGGGGGATGTGTTTGTTTTACTGAGGGTTATTTGATTTCTTGTGCAGTTTGGAGAGGGGGGATAGGGTATGGATGGTTGAGTGTGCCTATTGTATGAATAGATAAGTGGTTGGATGGATGGATGGATGATACTGATGGTTATGTTATGGAGTGTCAAGCAAGTGCAGTTGTACGTACATATGCATCTGAGTAGATGTTTGGGAGATGAATGAGTATAAAATGTTGGTGATGGGAAGGAGATGATCATTTTTGGAGGGATTATTAAGGGTGGGATGTCTTTTGAGCACGAATGAGGTTGTTTCCATTAGGAAGGAGGAGATTGAGTTGATATCTGGGGGCTAGAGGATTTAGATGATGCTCTGAATGGGTGAGGTGAACAGAGTAGAGGTATCTTGCGAGCTGCTTGATGGATTTATGAGATATCTATACGGTTGGAGTAGAATGGAGTGGGATGATGGGTAGTATTTCTTCTCTTCCGAGTGGATTTAGGTCACTCTGTTGATCGATATTAAATCCTCCGGTGATCGTCTTCCCTCATATGTACTACCTTTCGGCTGTGGAAAATATCGTGGAGTGATATAGTACCATAGAAGGAGGGAAGAAGACTAGATTGTCTTTACTGGCGTTTACTCGGGATTTTCCTCCTGGCAGTGCCTTGATACATTGATAGGATGTGGAATAAGTAATTCTCATCTATCTATGAAAATAGAAAGGGCCGAGCATGTCAGTGACATCGCATTTCCGTCTATCCGATGTAATTGTATACTATGAAGTCATTCTTGCTGTCACTCTAGACGATTCACTTGCGGACTCAAATTTAGGTGCTGAGATATATAAGGCCTTTTGATTCGGTAGTCACAGGCACTGGCCCTAATCTACATTTCATTCTCTATGGGAGAGTTAGAGGGGGTTCTTCGTACTTTACCCCTGTCTTTCTCAACCGGTCATTAACCTGTTCATTTATCTCTTCCCTCTCCTTTCTTATTACTCCCAAACCTCTAATACCACACCTCTAATCTAACCAACCCCAAATAGTTTGCACAAGAACTCCTCTCAACCTTCGGAACAGATATCGGTGAAGTCGCTCTTCAACCTAGTACCGGTGGTACATTTATTGTCGAATTATTTACAGATGCAAACGCGAATAAGACTGCTACTAGTAATGTAGAAAGAGAAGCTGAAAAGAACGTGGATGAAGTAAAGGAAGTTAAGGTATTGAAACATACGCTTTGGGATCGGAAGAATGAGGGCGGATTTCCTGGTTTGTCTCCTTTTTCGTTTTTGTCTTCTTATTGCTCGAGAGATATAGAACAGAAGGTGGGTTTGGATGCGGAAAGATATTGGGGTTTTCGAAGTGGATTTTGGTCAAATCTGGGAATTTATGACTCGATAGGTCAGATCACTGATTGCAATACGAATTTAGAAACGAAAGAATTGAAAAAGAGACTCAGGAATATCATTGATCCGTCAAGAGATTTGGGTCATGTTGATGGAAAGAAATGTAAGTTCTCTACCTCAGTTTCGTAAACCATCATTTCTCTCTTATTTTTTCGCCCTCGCTTTCTTTTCGTCCATCTCCAATGAGACTAATAGTCCCAGCAACAACATCAACGGCCACTCCTTCTGTCTCCAACCCAGCGCCTACCAACTCACTCCCATCTTCAGCACAGCAAGATTCCGCACCAACAGCGATCAAAGCATCTACCTCAAGCCAAGCTAACACCGTATCTCAACCGCCAGCTGCCAGCCCCGCCACTACTTCCGAGTTGATTGAAGCGAAGCCAAAAGAGGTAAAGGAGAAGAAGCAAGAAGAAGAGAAAGTAACTTTAAATGAGAGAGGTAAAATTGTAATTACGGGGTTGGAAGGAGAGGGCGGATTTGGGGTATGTAGACCTGGAGATGAGGAGTGTGGTGGATTTTAAATTTAGGATTTGGGGAGAGGATTGAGAGTATTGAGAGGGACTATGATGCAGTTCATGCCACAGGATAGTCTGTTTGATTGCAACGGTTAGATAAAAGACCTATCTGGGCTTGCATCCTTGATATGAGATTTGACGGGACCGTATGCCAAGTTTACCAGAGCCTAGGAAATGATATCTAGGACATCTTTCCCCAATGATCTATCAGATCCTGACATTTGATTGAACTATGGAATCCTATACTAACTCAAAGGGCCTTTACGAAATTCATATATTCGATTTGATACACAACAAGGAATCTGAGAATGAATACATATCTAGGACATCTAATATTCATTATTACCCAAGAGATTTGTTGAACGAACTTGACATGGATTATAGGGTGTCGAATTCAAAGATCCTACATATTCGAGGTACATATATAACCCTAGGAGACCATTTGATGATTTGGAAGCCAAGAAGTCTTTTCAAAATAGTTGAATATGTGTTGTTTATGTGGTTTATCTTAGAACGTGTCTTGATACTCGAGAGAATAAGGGGGCGAAGTCGAATATCGATCAAGTGAATGATACTCTTCAATTTCCTAGGGTTATTGAAAATTCAATAGTCAATTGCTCTTCATGTGTAGGTGCAAACAAACAGTCGGAAAGCTGTATTGACCTTTGTGTCTTGGTGTATTCATTTATCTTCGGGTTATTTTGATACTCAAGTCACCCCTCCTGCCTATTGTGCCATCTTTCACCGCCAAATATTTCTTTCAAAGTCGGTTGTTGCCTTAAAAAAACAAAGCTTTAACCATTTTTAGTTTAGCTTTCCGCACACGAATGAACTCTTGTATGAAATTATCGCTATCGTGAATTTGTTAACGAAACCTCAACCCACTTCGATATCCATCAAGTCGGAGTACCTACCCAGCCCTGGACAATACTCTCTGGCAGGAACCGCTTCGTTTTTTCTGTTTTCAAAGATCAATATATTATCTTTGAAAATACTCAGCCAGATTATCGCAACACCCTACGAACACCACTAGAGTGCTGCCCAGCATGCCTCCTCCACCTCATCAAAAACCCGAGAATGTCCTCAAGCGCGCCCATGAGTTGATGGGTGTCGGACAAGCTCAAGCAGCTTTGGTCTTACTTCACGAACATGTTACTTCGAAAAGATCGAGAAATGCCCCGATTACTTCATTAGAGCCTGTGATGCTCTTGTTGGTGGAACAATCCGTTGAACAAAAGAAAGGAAAACTCGCAAAGGATGCTTTATACCAATACAAGAATATCAGCCAAAACACCAACATTGGCACAATCGAGGTAAGTGGAGGTAGTATTGATTACATGTGCGGTGCTAATGTTTTTGATTTAGCTCGTCCTCAAGAAGTTCATCGAGTTGGCCGAAGAGAAAGTAAAGACTGCGCAAGCAAAGGCCGATGAGGTTCAATCGTCATTAGATACAACAGCAGCAACCGCAAGTGTCGATGATTTGGAAGCTACCGAAACCCCAGAGTCTATCCTTCTGTCAACAGTATCCGGCGAACAATCCAGAGATCGCACAGATCGCGCCATTGTTACACCATGGTTGAAATTTTTGTGGGAGACATACAGAACTGTTCTCGACATCCTCCGAAACAATGCCAGATTGGAAATCATGTACCAAAGCACTGCTATGCAAGCATTCGAGTTCTGCCAAAAATACACTAGAAAGACCGAGTTCCGTCGATTGTGCGAATTGCTCAGAAACCATGTTCAAACTGCTGCAAAGTACTCTGCTCAAATGCATGCCATCAACCTTAACGACCCAGACACCCTTCAACGTCATCTTGAGACCCGTTTTCAACAATTGAATGTTGCAGTTGAGCTTGAGTTGTGGCAAGAGGCTTTCAGAAGTGTTGAGGATATTCACACCTTGCTCAGCCTTAGCAAGAGACCACCTAAGAATGTCATGATGGCCAACTACTATGAGAAGTTGACCAGAATCTTCTTGGTTGGTGAGAACTATCTCTTCCACGCTGCTGCATGGTCAAGATACTACAACCTTCTCCGTCAATCCGCTCAAATGGTTGCAGCTGGTCAAAGCAAGAAGTCAGATAACCCAGCAACCTCTGAGGCTGATCTCTCCAAGGCTGCTTCCTTTGTTCTCTTGTCTGCCCTCGCCATCCCTGTGATCAGCACATCTAGATCTCGTGGTGCTTTGGTTGACATTGATGAGCAAAAGAAGAACAAGAACTCTCGTCTTACTCATCTTCTTGGTATGGCTCAAGCTCCTACTCGTGCCGTTCTTTTCAAGGATGCCATGAGCAAGGGTCTTCTCAAGCGTGCTCGCCCTGAGATTCGTGAGCTTTACAACATCCTCGAAGTTGACTTCCATCCTCTTTCAATTTGCCAGAAGATCTCACCAATTCTGTCTCAAATTGGTGCTGATGCCGAGATGGAGAAATATGTTCTTCCTCTTCAACAAGTCATCTTGACCAGACTCTTCCAACAACTTTCTCAAGTCTACGAGACTGTTGATCTTAACTTCGTCGAGAACCTCGCCAAATTCCCAGAGCCATTCCAAGTTACCAGAGAAACAATTGAGAAGTTTATCATGAACGGTAACAAGAAGGGCGATCTCGCTATCAGAATGGATCACGCTACTGGTGTTCTTAGCTTCGACACTGATGTTTTCTCATCTACCAAGGCAATCCACGCTGGATCTGGCGCAGGATCTGCTGAGTCCGAAACTGCCTCTGTTCAAAGACTCCAAAACACTCCTTCCGAAATTGTACGAACTCAACTTACTCGTCTTTCTAAGGCTTTGTATATTACTGCTCAATATGTTGATCCTACTTTCAATGAAGCAAGAATCAAGGCTCGTGATGAAGCATACGCAAGAGCCAAGGCTGGCGCAGATGAAGAGCACAAGGAGACCTTGAAACGCAAAGAAACCATCCAAAAGAGAAAAGAGGAAGCATCCGAAATTCAATCTCGTAAAGAGAAGGAAGAAGCCACAAGAAAACGTATCAAGGCTGCGCAACTCCAAGAAGCTGAGGACAAGCGTCTTCAAGCCGAACAAAAGAAGCGTGAGGATGACCGTATCAAGGCCGAATTGGAGCGTGTCAGAAAAGCAGAACTTCAAAAGCAAATTGATGATCTCAAGATTGGCAACAAGGCTCTTGACATCGATCTTGATGATTTGGACAACCTTGACGGCAACAAACTTCGTGCCATGAAGTTGGCTCAACTCGAGCGCGAGAAGAATGATACAAACGAAAAATTAAGAATTACCGGTAAACGTATTGATCATCTCGAGAGAGCTTTCAGAAAGGAAGAAGCCAAGAAGTTGCCAGAAGACTATGAAGCACAAAGACAACGTGATTTGGCCGCCTATGAGAAGACTAAGGCTCAAACCTTGAAGGATGCTGAAGCCAAACACAAGGAAAATGTTGCTCTCAAGCACAGATTGGCAAGATTGGTTTCTCATTACGAATCTTTCCGTGATGATATTGCCGAGCGCAGACACGAAGAGTTTGATAAACGTCGTCGTGATGCCGAGAAGGAACTTGAGAAACAAATTTCTCAACGTAGAAAGGAGTTCAAGGAACGCAAGATTCGTGAGAAGAGAGAGCGTGAAGAGCAAGAGAGAAAGCTTCGGGAAGAAGAAGAACGTGCTCAAAGAGAGAAGGCTGAGAAGGATGAGAGAGAAGAGAAGAGAAAGGCTGAGTTCGCAGAGCTCAAGGCAATCCGTGAGAAGGAGAGACAAGAGGCCTTGGAGATGGCTGCGTTACAAGAGCGAAGAGCTGAGGAAGCTGCAAAGAGAAGAGCTGAAGAAAAGGCTAGAGGGCCTATTCGTGGCGCTCCTATCGAAAGATCCGATTCAACTGGTGAAAGGCGTGCTCCTCTTGCTCTTACCGGTGCTAAGTTGGGCTGGAGAGAAAAGGAGAGACTTCGTGCTGAAGGAAAGGAGGTTCCTTCCGATTCCGCACCTGCTGCCCCTCGCCCAGCACCATCTACCGAAAGAGCTCCTCGCCCAGCAGCAACTCCAGAACGTACTGGATCATCAACTGGAGAGAGACGTGCACCTCTTGCTCTTGCCGGTGGTAAATCCACCTGGAGAGAAAGAGAAGCAGCCAAGGGAGCAGCTAGTGGTCCAAGTCCATCAAGCAGAAGTGAGGAAAAGACCAGTGATGCTCCAGCTCCTTCTCCTGCGCCTGCGCCTAAACCTGCTACTGGTGGTAAATGGGTTCCTCCACATCTTCGCAAGGCTTAGAGTTCAGGGGGTTATTTGTAATTAGTTTAGACAATGAGGAAAAAATGAATGATTGTTATGCTTTGAATTCTTTTTTGACTTTTTGATTTGTTTGGTAATCACTAATGATGATGGATCGTTTGCTTATTCTATTCTATTGTATATATCTTCGCTTATGGTTTAATAATGCTTGATTTGCGTATTTGTTCTAGGTGAGATCAGTTGAGACAATGTATCGTAGAAGCATGATTATTATATTCTGATTCTTCAATATTGTTTCCTCCCCCTCTTCCAATTCGCTTCTTCCTCCTCCCTCGCTCATTTCTATCCCTCTCCCTCTCCCTTGACTACAACTACCTACCTTGAATATCTTTTCTCCTGTCTACCTCGAGAATTCTTGATGTATTAATATCGATATCGATATAAATACTAATGCAGAGGATTGTTTAGTATCACTTCAATCACTTAAGTGAGTGAGTGGGTGACTAACTAACTTGAGAGAAACAAACGAGGAACCAGGAGTTTGAAATGTTTCAACATTGATGGTTGAGAGCTTCTGGTTAGGTTGATTGGTTGATTGGTTGGTTGGTTGGTTGGTGACTCGTCGCTGATTTACTGGTTACTGATTTACTTGTTGCTTCTTTAAGGTTACCCGTCACTTAGGTCTCTCATAAAGGTACAGTGCGATATACTATGTCATGCTACCCTACGCTACGATAGTGCAAAGGGGGAGTGGAATGGATGTGGAGATTTAGAAGCGAGGGAAACAGACGTCGAGGGATAGACGTAACTCGTGCATGCATAGATTTTCCAGGAAGAAAGTGGTATTTGGATATCACGATTAGAGGAGAAGCGAAAGCAAACCTTGGAAGTCAAAGAGTACTAGGTAGGGATTAAAAGTTTCTCGGGAAAGACAAATGCGGAAAGCGAACGGAAAGAGGTGGGTGCTGGGGAGAAAGATATGTTACGGGTGGTGGGGAGAAGTGAAATTGTAATTGTGAATGGGGAGGTGTTTGTTTGTTTGTATGTCTTGATTGGAGATTGGAGATTGGAGATAGAGATGCTTATGACTAGGGGAAAAACTCGCAGTAGAGATGGGAGGGATCTGCTGATGATTCTTGTATGTTTGGACCTTGAGATACAGCGTACCGTGACGGTTGTCTCTTTTTTTGGTGCGGAAAGAGATCTGTTGCGTGAGCGTGAAATATTGTTATTTGCGAAACTTGGGAGGGCTGGTAGGATATCTCATCTCGCGCTTATTCAGGGGAGAGACAGTGGTCGGTGGTCAAATTGAAATAAACAATTGAGATTTTGCAGATCTAGATGTAGATGGATAATGTGCGCATTTGGAGATGGTTGATGGGTGGGTGGTCTGCACTGTTCGGAGGATGATGAATGATTAATGTTTCTTTGTGGGAGGGAAACCTGGAGAAAAAGGGGAGATTGGGGAATTGAATTTTATAGGAGGGGGGTTGAATGGTAGGATGTTGATTTTAGATGAAGTTACTGACTGTATGTAGTAGGGAGAAAAGAGAGAGAGGTTCTTGGTGGTTGGGTATACTGTAAATATGAAAGACAGCTAATTTTCTCCCGAGCCCAAGTCCAAGTTTTCTCTTTCGTTTTGTTCTCGTATTTGTTTGTGCTGTATCTGCACTGCTCTTCCTAGTTTGTTCAGAAAAAGATGGACGGATACAATTTTTGGATTCGTAGAATGGGTGTAGAATAGGGGCTTCAGGTGACGGCTATTTTAAGTTGCACTATGATATTACCTATCTCGATGTCGATGTGTAATAGGGTGTATCGAGACGATTACATATTAAGGTATATTGGAATCTGATGACATAAATCATGTAAGTTTGGGTGCGTAAAATGGGATCAAAGATTTCGATACATCGGACGAGAGATATCATGTGATTGACGTGACTACAGTCATTCGCATTTGTCGGCCATATCATGTCACACAATGTCAATTGTAATGAGCATCATAATAATCTAATAGATCATCGCCATCTAAAGATTTTTCGGGAACCTATCGCCAAAGCCACTATTGATCAAGCATCTAAAACTTGTGGACCTTAACCTCGAATCACCCACAAGCTTCACAAGTTTAACTATCATAATGCTGACATCGCGGAAACTAACCTGTAAGACGCCTTTATCATAACTCATTATCATTCAGTTATCTAGTACCTTGAAATTTCAAAACTTTTACATCATAATCCACTCCCTCCCTTTTCGAACTTACCACCAGCTCTTCCATCTTATCCCTACACGCATCCATGATCTCCTTTTTACACAACCAAGCATCTCTCCCAGCAACCACAACCCCCATACCCTCTGCAAAACCCATCACAAAATCCACAATCCTATCTGCAAACCCGTTGATTCTGCTCTTGGCCAAACCACCGTCAAACGGAGCCTTCACAAAAACAACCGTCACACCCACCTTTCTCAACACCGGAAGCTTTTCCTTCAAATAACTCATAACCTCCTGCGTCGGACTCTCATCACGACTGAGATCAAAAATAACAACCACTTCTATCACCCGTATCAAAGCACACGCGCGGGGACTAATCGTATCCACGAATTCTCGCGCAAAAGTCAAACGCATGTGAAAAACGAAGCGTGTGAACAGAATTTCTTCAAGCTCAGCATGCATGAGACGACAAACGACAAACAAGGAGCTCATGATTTCAGTGCCGTAGAAGTGCTCGTGTTTATCCGGGGAGAGCCTATGCCCGTCGGGACCCTTGAGGCCACGGAGCTTGGTCACGATGATCCGGTTGGAGATGAAGGATTGGAGAAGGTGTTGGTGACAGAGGGTATGGTAGAGGATTTTGTATCGGATCTCTGCCGGGAGGGTGAGTAGTGTGTGTGGTTTGGACATTTTGGGTATTTTGCAATTGTAGACTTGGTGGTGTGGTAGACTGCTGATGACTCGATTTGAGGGATTGCGAATGTAATGCTATGGCGGAGGTACAGATTCCTCTACTTGCAGTCTCGCTAGAAACCTCTATCTGGAATCTGGCGGAAGAAGTCAACAGAGACTCGAGAGATTGTTGTGGATTTGGTGAAGACCTGATGCTTAAGGAAGAGGTTAAAGTGAGCATTTACTTTCGCTACTATCACGTGACATCGTGGTAACCATATCACCGCTTGAGGCCCTGAAAGTTACAAGATTCTGGTTATTTTAAGCGAAGGACTGTATCTTTTTCTCTTCCCCTGAGTTAGTTTTTTCTTTCGACGATACCCATATATCACGTTGAGTAACTCTTTGAATAGTAAGTGAGTTAATGTAGCAATCTCGTCAATGCAGTTATCTGTCCGCCTGTATAATTTCTATGTAAACCATGAGCCCAAAACCGTAGTATCAGTTCGGGAGAGTTATTTTCATTAAGAAGCTACCTATCATACTATATAGATGGATTACCGTACCAATGATCTTCGTCATTTTGTAGATGTGAAATAACCACAGCTTCTTCTGGGATCAAGTATCTACAGCCGCACACAGCTACCATAGTCCGTTTCGTCTATCTCACTATCTTCATCAATACAAATCTAAGATTCATTCCAAGATTCTTTCCACTTCCAATCTCCAACTTCTCATAGAGGTACCGAAACCAATAGTCTAGGCAGATCTGCAATCGTACCCGGGCCACCCCGCTCAAGTAGCCCAATTCAAACTTAGACATATCGAATCTCAATCCAGCAGATAATAGACGAAATGAATGCAAGAACCTTAAACAACCATTTCACACTGTACCATACAATCGAGAGAATCAAGAACAGGAACAAGCTAGCTGAGAGTAAGAGATCTGACGTCGAGCGAAGTAGACGAGCAAGACGAAGCAAACAATTTCAATACAGTACAGGATCTCATTACGTCATTCAGTAGCTACATATATATCGATAGGGACGAAAGCGAGAGAGGATGAAGTACCATCGTATGCTAGCCAGTCGTTAACCCATTTCAAGAAGACGAATGGGTCTATATCTATCCCGTCACCAGAAGCTAATCACAACACTCAAAAGATATAGTTCATACGAGGTTGTATATATACAACCAGAGAGCAACCATCCTCCCAACAAATGACCATCTCACGCGCTTAAAAATACGGTTCATATGGACTCCTGATCTGTAGCAAATCCTGTCATGTGTACTGCTCTGAAATCCGAAGTTGTGAAAGAACATACAGCGGTCCATGTACTATTCATATATACCACAACGACAAACAAAACGTCGACGAGAACCATCCGAGACTATATCAACCGTGTCCAACTGTACGTGCGCACAAGATACACAATACAAGAAAGAACTTGATGCGTTAGCGAAGTACATAGTATTTCGCGTGAAAACTATTCAACGGTCCGCGGATGGTTTACATTTCCAGACGTGCGACAAGAATATACTTTACACACAGGACCCCATCTAGGAATGTGCCAACTATACCTCATGGTGTATATACATGGTGCATACAAACTATAATTTAGGTTCAGTATAGATTAAGAAGATCCTGTACAACAACCGCAACAACAGCGCAGCACAACAGTAACCCCGCAATCCAGCCGACGCAAAAAAAAAAGACAAAACTAAGCACTAAAGGACGATCCCGCTACCACCCCACAATCTAGCGCCGACGTCTCCCAGAAACACACCATCAATAAAAGCCTTCTCCAATCAAGACTCCACACCCACTTATCACATAATCCCCTCGTATAAGCATCCACGCAACACAGACAACTCAAAGAAGCGGTAAGAACAGACAGAACCCTACTGCAGAAACGATATCCCATATTCGATCACATAACTCGCTCTACCACTAGACCACACGAGCAAACATGAGAAGGAGAACAAAGACCAATCTGAACCCGAAATCCCAGGGCCGCATATCCGTATTCATACCCGCGTCGATGCGCAAATGATTGAAGTATGTGACACTAGACAGTAGACTTCAACCCAAAGCAAAGTAAAGCAACTAGCAAACATCAAAACGCACATCGCTCAAGCTAAGTTCCATCTATTCCACAATCTACCAATTCCATTACGGTAAACAAGCAAAGCTAGCGAGACCAGCGACACCGCCCAAAAAAAGTCAACACAAGTACGGTATGTATGTATGTATGTATGTGTGTGTGTATGTATGTACATCAACAATGACACGCTAGAAAAAAACCCGATGAAGTACCCACGCCTAAACGCCCGAACCTAAAACCCAAAACCTTAAACCCAAATCCAAACCAACCAAGGCACATCTCCAACTCTGTGCACCAACCCTCTTAGTTCCTCGCCGCCCTACCCCTCACCGCCGAAAAAGTAGGGCTGAAACTTCCACCCACTAACTCCCCTCCTCCCACTTAGCCGCCCTACACCACAACCTGGGTGGATAGACCCATCCGAGTGGATCCACCCACCCAAACGCATCTGCACCTCCACCTCCACCTTCACCTCCACCCATCACCCGATCATCCGATGCGAATGCGAATCATCCGATGAGGCGTCACATTCGCCATTCCCGATGTACCTCTAAGACCCTCTTACAGTCATCCGATAAGAGAGACTAGGTACCTAGGGAGTATTCTTAGAATCCATCCAATCCCGACATTGGTGGACATGATAATGAGAGACGCTAGATGGGAGACCCCAATCCCAAAACGGAAATACGGAAAAGGATCAGATGATGTGCAGAAATAAATTTAGACTTGGGCAGCAACTTCAAGGGTATTCCTTTCCTTTTTTTCCCGATGTCTTTTTACCCCTCCAACCCCTCTCTTTCGTCCAGTCTTCCAACCTCTCCAGTATCAAAGAAAGTCCCCAGAAAGCATGAGGATAAAGTTTTCTCGTGCATATGTGTCATGATGTCATAGATAACTCCTCTCACCGTTTCCTGGGCTGCATGCTCGTTTGTCCAACACTTGCTGGAAATACCTACACATCTGCTGCTGACTATCATCCGAGTTTTCCGTTCTCGGTAGGAGAATTTGTTGTTCACGCTCTGTACTCACAACACAATGCCAAAAAATACTCAGATAATCATCATCACAAAAGAACAAGTTTCATATCATTAATCCGCCTCTATTCACACTGCTCCCATGCTCTTTTTCTCTCCTCTCCCTCCCGCCTGCTTCCCCGACCCCCAAACTTGAATCGACCACTTTCGCTTGCTCCTTTTTGAACATAACCCATTGACATAAGCCTCCTACCTCCGCCCCTCCATCCTAAGCACATCCACTATTCGTGTAAATGCTCACACCATCCAGATCCCAGCCCAATCATGTCAGGTCAGGCAGACCAATAATTACTCGTGACTTCAAACGCCCCGACCCATCCATCCATCTCAAATATCAACCCATGGGTAGGTGAAATGAAAAAGTATTCCCTAACCATAAAACTCCATGCACAAAAACCGATATGTTACAAACATGTCATTGCTTTCTCTCTGACTGAAGATTTCTCTCTTCTCATAACTCTGCTCTCTTCCATTCTCTCTCTCTCTCTCTCTCTCTCTCTCTCAAGATCTAGTAACATAATCCATTCATTCATTCTCGAAGAAGCCGAAATTTTTTCTGTTCCAATCCATCATTGATTCGTTCATAAGGAAAAATGTAAAAACAGCAAATGAACCTCCAACCTAAACGCTATGCATGCTTTCCATGATGATAAAAAAATTCGAGCCAGAAAAATAAATAAAAGTAGAAAATAAGTGCCTCTTTCATGCAATGTGTCCTTTTATATCGAGAGTAGAGTCGTCCGTCATGCAATTTTCTCAAAAAAAAGATGAAGAATGGGTTTGGGGTATCAAAATAAACAAGTTCCTCTTCTCTCACTTCCTTCTAACTTGACCACCATCAATATTGACAATGATCCTTTATACGCAGGGACTACACTCCCTTCCAACCACTCGACCAATGTGCTCTTGAAAGTAGAGCCATTTTTGATTTTGTATCTGCATGAAAAAAAAATCGCTTTTGGTGTGTGCACTTCAACCCAGAGTGCGACCGCTGTGTATCGTCTGTTGACTGACTGCCCTAATTGTAGAGCCCGGTCTCATAGTATTTGCCGATTCATATTCGGATGTTTGATATCCGGGCGGCTGACTTTTCTTTTGAGCCTCCCAGCCTTCTTCGCTTAACACACTCAACCATCCTTGCCCAACATCATTTCTTAGAGCCTCTATCTTCTTTCGATATAGCTCACCGCTCATGTTCCAGTCGGGGGTATCTGGAGTCTTGACTGGCTGTGGCTTAATTGCTGTTTCGTAAGGTACCGATTCTACTGCTGGCATTGGAGGTAGACGAGGTAATACTGAGGTGTTGATACGTGGGACATCCGCTTGTCTTTGGGCCTGACGAGGTTCTGAAGGTACATAGGGAGGAAGAATCGTAGGAGAAAAGATGGGACTTATGCCATAGCTACTATCTGACACTGTTCTTGGCATAGATGGTGGTGGTTCCTCTGGCATTACAACGCGGGTCAATCCTTGCTTGCTTGGTGACGTTTCTGAAGTCGATAAATCTACGATTCGTCGTTTTGGAGTTCTTCTTCTCCGACCCGTAGTGCCAGTGTTGATTTCACTAGTCGCAGCAACGGGTGTTGGTCGTTCTTTCCGAAGTACTGCTGGTTCTCTTGGTGCAGCATATTCGATAATTGGTTTGTTAACCTCAATGGCAGACAGACCATAATCGGGAGGAGGTGGTTTGACAACAGGCACACCTGGCCGTTCTGCAACACGTTCGACTAAATGCCGCCTTTCTGTGTAACCTGGTCCATAAGCATCAATCAAAATATCCTCGGTATATCCTGGGGTTTGCCTGAATAAGTTGAAAATTGTGGTCCTGTAGTTACTGTGTGTTTTGGTAAATGGATTGCCACTAATCCATATTTCTCGA